ACTTGTTTCTTTCGAGTTTTAAATTATTTTTTACCTTATTTATAAATATAAATATAATTGCTTATATATATTCTCTAAAAAGAGTATAAATATGTAAATGAATTTAGACTTATGTGCTAAAATTTAATATACATGTATATATTTTAAATATAAATATTTAAAGTCAATATGAAGATTCACGCTGAGTTTCATCGATTTATTAAATTCGTTTCAATATATTTTGAAAAAAGTGGGTCATTATATTATAAAAGCGAAACTGAAATCAAATAAATAATGTATATAAGTGTTGAAATTTCTTTTAAAAAATAGACGGTTACTGCATTGATGGATTTAAATATTTTTTAATATCTGGTTTTTTGTTAAAACCATTTTAAATTATAAAATTTTATTTTATTTTATTATATATATATATATATATATATATATATATATATATAATATAATATATAAAATTTTATAATTATAGAATTAAATCAAATTTTCAATTTGGAATCTAATTTCTTTAAAATAGCTATAATTAAGAAATTATAGCAGCATTTTTATGTAGATTATTTATTTGTTTCTCAAATAGTGGCATTAATGTAAGTGAGTTTTAAATATATTCTTATATAATCTAAACGCAATGCAAAAAGCCTCTTAAAAGAAAATAAACAAACCTTCACATTTTGTAGTCATTCAGTTTGAGCTTTAAATATATATGTATACCATAAATAATGTATATCGGGAGCATTTATTCTCCTTCTTTTCTGCGAGCTTCAAAATCCCCCCATAAGCTGCAGGATAATCATATATTCGCTATACAACTAATCTTGTTGAAAATTCTTTATTTTCATCTTCTTGATACCGCATGTTAAAAAATTGTATTCAAAAAAGAAAACCAATATCAAACTATAATGTATAAGCATAAACTTTATATTTAGAATTAAGTCTCTCTATGTCATTTAACTAAAACAAACATCCGTTTGAAACTCATTAACTTGTTGAAATATCCGTATATATTCTAACATATAAGACATATTGTATTGAAACTTTCAACTACAGGAATCAACTTTATATATATATATATATAAGTTGAATCATTTATCTTCGACACTTTTCTTTTCAACTATATCCAATAATTAATATACCTAGACAATATTGATTATTCTAAAATGTGTTGTAAACAGAAGGAGAATAAATTGTTTGCAGGTGCAACTAATATTGGATAATGTGCAAATGATGCTTTTAGAACTAATTTTCTTGAGGTATAGAATTTAAAGTCATTCAGTTCTATATAGATTGAAACCACTAAACTCGAAGAGCCGCGCGCTATTAGTGGCTCCGGGGGCTCAACATAATAATTGTCCGGAAACTTTAAACAATGATCCATTAGAGATGAATTTAATAATCTCTAACTTCTTTTCACAAAAATTATCATTCAATTACATAGCATTGTTTTCTACTATTATTTTTTCAATATTACTTTTTATATACAAAGGTATTTCTATATAAAAACCAATTAGTATAGTCTTCTCCGTAAGATTAGCGTAATTTTTGAAAATAATTTACTATCATTTATACCTTTTATTGAAGAATGACTACTGATGTATATAACGTATATCAAGTATTTCGTATATATATAATGGACACAAAAGATATCGAGATAGGAAATGTAATGAAATCAGCATATATTGAAAAACACCTTCAGTGTGCGCAGATTTTCATTTAATTTTTGAAGGGAGTGTCACAGATAAGAGAATATCCTTTGTGAAGCTCGAGAATGAGAGAGGAAAAGGACAAAGATCGTAGGAAGTTCTATTTCAAATAACTCGACGCGTCCTTGAAGTGAAAAAAACGAAGAGAGCACTTCATTGTGCGAGTAGGAGTGTTCGTGCTCATCGTGCCCTCGAATCATTGTACCACACCCACACGCCTTCAAGAACATGGATTACGTGTCCTGCTCACTTTCCTTATTTGACAATCTAATATCAATTATAACACATTGAAAACTGTTTTTTATACTCGAGCGTTTATTTGACACTTCTTCTTCTTTTTCTTCTGATGGCCCCCTTCTTCTTCTTCTTCGCCTTTTAAATCGGCTTCTTCTAATTCTGTTTTCTTCTTTAGCTTCCTCTTCAACTTTTATTTCCGCTATTTGTTTCTCTACATTTTCTATTGCTGCCTCTTCTGCTGTTTCTGATATTTCTTCCCTTTTTTCTTCTGCTGTTTTTTCTGTCTACACAATTAGAAGCAGCAGAAGATGAGTCTTGGTCTGCTGCTGATTCTGATGTTTCTCCTTTTGTCTCTTCTACTTCTATGCTTCTAATTCTGCAGAAATAAAAGAAGAAGAAAAGGAAGCATAAACAAAAACAGCAGAAGCTGATGCTGCTCCTTTTTCTTTAGCTATTTTTTCTTACAACACCTCTTCGCCTGCTGCTGATTTTGATGTTTCTTCATTCACTTCCTTTTCTTATGCTGTTTCTGCAAATGGTTCCTATTCTTCTGTTTCTGTTTTTTTTGCATTTAGTTCCTCCTCCTCTTCTTCTATATATATACTGTTTCTGCTATTGGTTCCATTTTTTTCTGCTGCTGCTTCTCCTTCTGTTATTTTTGCTCTTGTTTCCTCTTTTTCTTCTACTGTTTCTGAATTTTGTTCCCCTTCTATAGTTCTGATGCTTTTGATTCCTCCACTTCTTCTGCTGCTTCTACTTCAGCTTCTAATACTTTTGAATTCTATTCTTTTGCTGTTTCTGCTTTTGGTTTCCTTCCTTCTGCTGCTACTTCTACTTCTGATGCTTTTGCTTCTGAATCCTCTTCTTCTACTGTTTTTGTTTTTGGTTCCGCTTCTATTTCTGCTCCTTCTTCTGCTATTTTTTCTTCTACTGTTTGTGCTTTTGATTTCTCTTCTTCTGCTGCTGCTTTTCCTTCTGCTTTTTTTGCTTCTGCTTCTTTTTCTACTTATGCTGTTTCTGCTATTGATTCATCCTCGCGTCTTCTGCAGCTGTTTCTACTTCTGCTTCTGATGATTTTGAATCCTATTCTTCTGCTGTTTCTGCTTTTGGTTCCTCCTCTTTTGCTGCTGCTTCTACTTCTGCTTCTGAATCTTCCTTCTGCTGTTTCTGTTTTTAGTTCCTCCTCCTCTTCTTCTGCTGCTGATTCTGCTTTTGGTTCCTTTATACTTTTACTCTTTCTACTCCTGATATTTTTGCTTTCAAATCCTTTTTATCTTCTACTGCTATTTCTGTTTTTGGATCCTCCTATTCTTTTGCTTCTTCTTTTCAATTATTTCCTACACTTTTGGGTGTATTTTGTGTAAAAAATTGCAATAAAATAGTCTGCCTAAGAAAAATTGAATTTTTTTATGACGAAAAGTGCTTTATAGGTGGTAATAAAGGTCTTCCTCTACTCGGATCGGGCTGTCAATTTTTTCTACACTTTTAGGTGTATTCTGTGCAAGAAATTGCAATGAAATAGTCTGCCTAAGAAAAATTGAATTCGGCTGCTTTTTCTTTTTCTCCTTTCTCTTCTTTTATTTTTTATTAAACAAATAATTTTGTTAAAAAATAAGGTCAAGATCAAATATGAAAACCTATTATTTCAAGATTACTTATAAATAGTCAGCATGAAGGAGATTACATTTCAGTATCGTTGCGTTTTATTATGAAGAACAATCTTCACTATTGTTGTGGTGTTTGTTATACGCATACATTGAAAAACAAGAAAAGTTACTCAAGTACATGCTTATATATATGTATATATATATATTTTAGCATCTTATGAATACACATGTAAATAGGACCTCGAACTACAGTAGACATGTGAGAGACACACACGTTTCTCAGTCTCGCATCGTAGCATTTTCCCACACGTGGTTTCTTATAGACCTCTCTTTTTCTTCAAGATTGACTTGAATTTGCCGTCGTAACCCCTTTTGGTTCACTCCTCATTACAAGTCAAAGGGGAACATTAAAAAAAAAAAAGGTATAATATTTTTCGACAAATTTTTGTTGCACAATAAAAATTTTTTTTCAAATTTACGTATAATTAAAAAAGAAAAGAATATTTTTCAGTTTTATTGAATTTTTCCTCGATTTTTGGTTATATATTCACCTGCGACGATGAGTCATAGAAATTAAAGTAACTTCCGATAGCACCTGCCGAATCGCGTAGCAGGTTTCACTCGCCATTAGGCAGCACGCTTCTTATATATATACAATACATTGAGAGTATCAGACTTTGTCAGTTGAACTTGACTACACTCTCAAAGCATATGCCGTAAAAAAAAATAAGAAGGGGACGTGTCTTCCTTTATTGTAACCGAAATGAGTCCCGGATTCATGGCCCAGCGGCTTGTGACATCATAAGACACTCCTGATTGGCCGCACTGAGGTTTAACATTGTAATCGCTTTCTAAAGAAATGTATATGAATAAGTTTAATAACAAACCCTTAACAAAAGAAAGAAACGGTTTGTTTTTTGATGATTCCTTATTTTAAAATAAATTTTTTTTTGGCCAAAGAATGGTTTTTTAAATGTAATTTTTCGCGAGTCGTGTACCAAACATTAACTGATAAAATTGTGACATAATCTTTAAATGGGATCTTAAGTAAACAATATCATGAAAGAAAGAAATTCGACATGTGGAGTACGAACAGCTGTATAATATAGCTAATAGCACACGCCGTTCTTCTGTTTTTTGTCTTATATATATACGAAATCGTGAAGGATCGGGTCAGGTGCGAATCAGTTTCACAAAGCAGCTGTAAAGCTGCACCGCGATATGACCCTTCTCCTAAAGTTTATAGTGTGTCATCTCTATTGTTCGGTCCATATAAAAGACAATGAAGCAGATGCACTTAATGATCGAATTAAAAGAAGACACAAGTGTTGTCTAAAATATAAAACCTTCAAAGCGAATCATTTTACTATTAATTGCATCATAATAATGATCTAATAATTAAAACTACAATTTTTCTTCTCAAAAAGAGGAAAATATTACAATTTAATTTTTTGAAACTTACCCTTCGATGAACCTTTTGCTGCATCTGAAACAGAAATAATATGTTAATGTTAAATTATTTAAAAGAAATAATGGAATGCTATATATATATAATCAACAATTGAAAGTTATTTTTCAATTTCAACAAAAACAAAGACAAAAGTGTAGGTGGTTGGGAGACATTTAATGGATTTTTTTTGGTGAACCTAGGAAAACGTGGGAGGCCGTTTACATAGAAAGTGAATAAAATAAAAACCGCAATTCTTATTCTCTATAAGGTTCTCGAACCTTTGGTGACTCACCGTAAGATACAATATTGCCTTAATCGTGCCGTAACCGCAAAACACTTTATATGGATATAAATTCTCTTTGATCAGACCGAATCTATAAATTGAACTGTATAGAAACAATTTTTAGATTATTATACACATGTGATTTTCAAAAAAAGAAGTTACGTTTTTTTATTCAGTTTATATTCTCATCCGGAGGAAACGCAAACTTGAATCATAATTGTGAAAATCACAGAAGCCAACAAAAATACAATGTATAACAACATGATTAAAATGGAGCGATAAGAAATTATATATATATATATATACATGAAGTCAATTTAAATAAGATAATATTTTTGGTTAATTGTGCTTTTTAGTTATGGGTCTGTGGGTAATGGGTCTGACACGCGATAAAAGTTTGCAGACGTACGTAATAGTTTCTGGCGGCGCATTATTTATATAATAAATTCTTTGAATTTAGATTAATTCCCTATCCAGTGGGAGTATCAATAGCTGCGTGCAACGAGTACGTTCACTCACGATTTTGCAGAGTACTTATGGTGAGAAACCAAAGTCACGAACTGCTCGCGAACCTTGAACTCCACGAAGAGATGGCGTGGGTGCAGGAAACACGGATATATATATACGTACGATGTCACCGTCAGAAAATGGTTCTCAACCTTTTTATTTTTAAACCCTTTTTTTTCTGCATCCGTTACAATTTTAATGAAAATTAATTTAATTGAAATTCATTTAGTGATTACGATGAAAAAGTCACTTGAACATAATCTGAGGAACATTTGGTTCCTCTTCTTCCTCTGCTGCTTCTTCTACTACTGATATATGTATTTTTGCTTTTGAATCCTCCTCTTCTGCTTATTTTCCTTCAGCTATTTTTGCTTTTGGTTTCTTTTTTTTTGCTTCGGCTGTTTCTTCTTCTGCTTATGCTGTATCTGATTTTGGTTCCTCTGCTGCTTCTTCATATACTATTTCTGCTGTTGATTCCTCTTCTTCTGCTGCTTCTATATACACTTAATGTTTTTGCTTTTGAATCCTCTTTTTCTTCTCCTGCTGTTTCTGCTTTTGTTTCCTCCTCTTCCTCTGCTGCTGTTTCTTTTACTTCTGCCGTTTCATCTTTTGGTTCCTCTTTTATACGCTTATTTCTTTCTAAAGTATACTTTTTGAAAAAAAAATGCCTCTCTTAATATTTGACACAAATTGTATACAATATTTACAATTCAAATCGAAATTAATTATTAAAATAGCTTGAGCATTTGGAACAGAAATAAATTTAATAGCACAAATTTTCATAAATCATCTAATCTTTTTGACACCTATATGCATGTGTGTGTGTGTGTGTTGATCTTGAAATATGGAAATGTACTTGGAATTAAAATGTCAAAGAGAACGGGTTAAGTTGTTTGTCAGAGAACGACATTTTCTCTCAACGTTTCATTTCATATATATGTACTTCATTTTTGCCGCAGATTAATCAAGAAATCAACCTTCATTCGAGGTCGATTTAAAAATTTTTTTTCTATATAAAAACATCATTAATTAAATTACGTCTTTTTAATGTCCGACAAAAAAAAGTAAATTTTTTATATATAAGAAACTTATATGTGAGAAAAAGCTTTTCTTTTTTTTTATTGAAACAATAAAAAATAAACGATAATTTCTGTCGTCGTAAATTTATATATAGATCGAGTGTTGCGATAAACGCGATATGAGTTGTGATATCACTGATATGAATCGTATATAGTCTACTTTTTACCCCATTTCCGCTAAAGGAAGATACCTTCGAATGTAGGGAAAGCCTTTTGTTGAAAGCAAAAATAATTATACTTACACACAATGTTTCAACATATGTCATGTTTCTGTAAGTTTTCTATTAGTCTCCAACAAAAATATTATTATTCACTTGATTTATTCATTTTTAATAATTTTAATAATACAATGAAATAATATATGAATAATAATAACAATATTAATAAGAATTATTATTTAATTTTTAATTATTGATTTTTATTCGTTTATATATATATGAAAGTAAGTTTTTTTTTTTTTTTTTTAAGTTCTATTTACGAGGGTTTTCAAGATTTAAAATTAAGTGCACCATCGTTAACATTTACACCTCTGGCATTTTACTACAAAAGAAGACGATACTCGATACTTTCTCCTATCGTAAATTGTACCTTAAACCGAAGCAGATCGCAGGATGTAAAATATAAAATGTTCAGCCGCACTACCATGAACGAAGGCTGATGAATTTTTATTTTTACTCTTAAGTAGTTGGGCAGTAAAAATCAGCAAGTTATAAATTTACAAGTTGTTGAATGATAAAAGCAACTTTTTGATTTATATTGTTATCAATATAAAAATAATAATAAGATTTTTTTTATTTACAATTTAAGCTAAAAAATTTAGAAGAAAAACCATTTAATTTCTTATTAATAATAATTCGTTTTTGATTATATATTTGAATTGACCCAAATCTACATCTGCGGTATGAAAATTGAGAATAATTACGTGGTGAAAATATATTTATTTGCGCTCATGTGTGCAAAGCCACTGTTCTTAATCAAGAGAGGACATCCGCAATAGTCGAGTGTATATTTAATTGTTTCCGGAAGTCTTGACATTAGGGACAGTAAAGTCTCTAAGCAGGTGTTATATACGATATATATAAATACAAATATAGAAGTTACATTTTCTACCTAAATACAAATTTGCATGATTCACCTTTTATCATTACATCAAATCTCAACTTATGTCACTCACATTTTACAGAAGGTGGGGGGGAGGGAAACAGACATTATTCCTGAACATACTATTTGTTTCCTTATCTCTATATATACGTACTAAATGACTCAACGTCTAGATTTTTTGGTCCAGATTCCAAGACAAATATTTTTTCCTTCCTCTTAAAAATGCGCTAAGTTAAAAATGTTGTTAATTTTCTTTCTATCGTAAAAATTTCTTAGAATTACAAAAATTCTTTTCTCGAAGATGGATTTTATTGACAGTTTTATCATTTTTATTATTAGACAATTCTTATTGTAGTCTTATATATATATGATAAATTGACACGAAAATACTCATTCTTTTTCGAGTCATATCAATAATATATAGCTATAAATTTGAAAAATGTCTGAAACTCAAGATATCTGAAAATTCGATGTGGCTTTTTTTTCGACATTTATTCTCACTAAAGTATATTATTATTTAAAATAACTAAAATGTATAGTCCAACAAACCATTTTTTAATATGATTCGTTATTTTTTCAACTCTCATACACTGTAAAAAATTGAATTTTAACTCCCTTGGGAATGCTATATAAAAGTCCCACCCTTTTGGAGTTAATGCTTTACGAGTTAATTTTTATGCCTAGGGAGTTGTAGTCTTAAGGAGTTAATTTAATTATTAACTCCCTTTTTTGAGTTGATTTTTAACTCGAAAAATTTAACTCCCTAAATTTTTTTACAATGTATATATTTGTATAAGTTTTATGTCCAAGAAATAAATGAAGGGAACATATGTCGAAGGATATAGTGTGGGTGCTTTTTCTTTTCGGAGCGGAAAGATCGTAGAAATTTATTTTTGCCCAGGTCGAGCGTAACGAAGGTCAGTTTCTCACTGTATTTCCTCAGCCGTCAAACTCATACATATATATATATATATATATATACAAGTGTGACATAAAGTCATCTCCGTGTGCAGTAAATTCTCCTCTCTTTTTTTTTTATCCACAAGAGTCAATATAAGACACAAATCCTAATGTTATAATTGTTGGATGTTCGCGTGAGAACGATAGCTATTTTCTCACGTTTCTTATTCTTAAACTACAAACACTATATTTTCTGCCAATATATGCATTGCAGTTCATTCAGAAAATGTTAATTTACAAACAATTACAATAATCAGATCAGAAAATGAAACTGTTTGTAGAATTTAATTAACCAAGAGTATATATATAGTCACTGAATAATATATTAATCAGAATTATTCGAAAATATCAATTTTCAGTTTGATGATTCTAGAGTTTATTATAATTAGATTAAACTGATTTATATTGAGAAATGAATACAATAAGTGATTCGTGGATTAATGTCTCTCACGCATGTTGCACTAATTCCTCTACTTATACTTGGATATATATATATCCAGGTTACAATCTTCTTAGTAGTTATTCGTATCCGGATCAACATGTGAAATCAAACACTCATCGCTTCAACGAGTTCCTTAGAAGAAGTTACATATTCACAGGAGTCTCACTGGACCATAACCATCCCACTGATCTCAAGTTTTAAGGTCACGATCGCAATATCCATTCATTGGTTATATATATATTTATAATTGATTTCCCTTCGTGTGTTATTTGTTCCACTGCTAACTGATTTGTACCATCAAAATTTGCTGCACACTGAAAAAATTTTGGTGCAACAACTATCCCAAACGAAAAATTTCTATATTGCAGTTAACTTCATTCATATAAAAACTCATGGCAAATATTAAGGATGAAGTTAATTGAATATAGAAATTTTTCGTTTGGGGCAGCTATTGCACCAAAATTTTTTCAGTGCAGCAATTAAAAAAAAAGGTGGCAGCGATTTTTTTTTGTTTTATATTATTAACGAGCTGTGGCTTAAAAAAAATTAGGTATATATATTTTTGAGAATGGTTATAGGGAATTAGTGCACGAATTTTTTTTTCTTTCACCCACGATAAATTCTGATTGTGAGATAATTTTCTTTATTCTATATTTATATCATA